CGGACATTGTTTCGTTCTGCTGTGCATGGGGTCGCTATGAGTCGGTTCCAACTCGATGGCACCTGACAACAACAACAACAATCCAGGAGAACTTCCTTTGAAGAGAGGCATGTTCTATCTCTGCACAGCCCCAAATGGTAGCCACTAGCCCCATGTGGCTAGTACTTAACATGTGACTACTGCAAGGAGCTCTGCTAGCGTAGTGGTTACGAATCGGGCTGCTAACCTCAAGGTTGCAGTTCGAAACTATCAGCTGTTCCGTGGGAGAAAGATGAGGCGTTCTACTCCCGTAAAGATTTATAGCTTCGGAAACCCTGTACAGGGTCGCTATGAGTCAGAACCGACTCCACAGCACATAGCCACCACTGCAACTAGAGCGTGGTGGCTCCGTTCCATAAGCATGGGACTCCCAACCACAACATCCACGGTTTGAGTCCGCCAGATAAAGATGAGGCTTTCCGCTCCCTTGAAGATTCAAAGCCTCAGGAACGCTAAACAAAGCCACTCTGGATTGGAACCGATTTCACAACCCTTAACAACAGCAGTGCAACTGAAGAACTCAACTTTTTCTTTTCCCTTTAACTAATATTACTGAACAGAGTGGCAGCATCAAAGGGCTCAAGCATGGCAACAATAGTGAGGTTGGCCCAGGACCGGGCAGTGTTTCGTTCTGTTGTGCATAAGGTCACTATGGGTTGGTACCAACTTGATGGCACCTAATAACAACAACAACAACGTCTGGTTAGCGGACACCACAGGCCTAGTAAACTCACTAGGACCCTAAGCGGACACCACGGCAGAGAGGCTGGGCAGCTGCCACCATCACAAGGCCTTTGTCTTCACAGCTTTCTGTTTGCTGGGAGCCTGTCACAAAGGGAGACGGTGTTGGTAAAAGCAAACTCAACTTCCTCACTGCCATCAAGTTGAGCCCGACTCACAGTGAACCTATATAGGGCTTCCAAGAAACTGGTCACTTTGAACTGCCAACTTTCGTGTTGGTAGTCCAGTGTTTATCCTACAGAGCCACCGGGGTTCCTAGTAAAAGCAAAAGTAACATTCAATTCAACTTGGTTGCATTACACAATTAAGGTTACATTGCGAAGACTGGATATTCCAGAACACTAAATGTGCTTCTAAAGAATTTATACATAGATCAAGAGGCGGTTGTTAGAACAGAATAAGGGGAATTCTGAATGGTTTTAAATAAACGATGGTTGCAGCAATACATCAACAGGGAGTGGCCCAGAAAATCAACTCGGATTCAGAAGAGGACATGCAACTAGAGATATCACTGCTGACATCAGATGGATCTTGGCTGAAACCAGAGAATACCAGAAAGATGTCTACTTGTGACTTATTGAATATCCAAGTCATTCAACTGTTTGGATCATAACAGATTATGAATAACATTACTAAAAATGAGTACTCAAGAAATCTTCAGTGTGGGCATGAGGAACCTGTACAAAGACCTACAGGTAGTTGTTAGAATAGAACTACAGTTTAAAATCAGAAAAGTATCTTTTCACTATGCTTAGTCAAGCTGTATGCTGAGCAAACAATCTGAAACAGAACATGGCATCAGGATTTGAAGGAGACTCATTAAGCATCTACGATGTGCAGATGATACAAGCTTGCTTGCCAAACGTGATGAGGATTTAAAATACTGGTGAAGATCAAAGACTACAGCCTTCAGGATGGATTGCACTTCAGTGTAAAAAGAAACAAAAATCCTTACAGCTACAAATGGAACATTAAATAGTATCGTGATAAATGTGGACGTTGTGAAAGACTTCACTTTGCTTAGATTCACTATCAACACTCATAGAAACACCAATCAAGAAATCAAAGGATGTTCTGCATTTGGCAAATCTGCTATAAAAACATCTCTTTAAAGTGTGAATGCGCACAGCAGTCTGGTGAAAAGAGATGGGGATAAGATTCCTATGAGTCAATAGTGAGTAACTGTTAATCATGACTAATTGCAACAGTCACAACTGTAAAGGTAGAAGTTTTGTAACAAAAAAGGGATGTAGTTAATCTTTCAGTCCAGAAACAGAGGACCCTAGGACCATCAAGGGAGAAGAGCATGAGCGGAATGTGGGATCCTACCGGGAAAAACAGCGACACCAGAGATGGAGGCAGAGATGAAGACATGGAGAGAGAGCAGCTGAGGACTCTACATTCATGAAAAGAGACAGGCTGTGTGCTGGTGGCCAGGAGGCAGGCTTGCAGAATATGTCCTTTGGTTGTTTAAATGATCATACATTCCTGAGTGTTTTTGTGTACATCCCAAACAAACAAAGAAACAAAAACAGAGGGACTAGAAGCAAATACTGTTGAATGATGATGCATGGAGGGGACTGTCATCATTGCAATGAAAGAAATATGATAGGATGAGTGTAAAACCCATATTCTCCCATGTAAACTATCATTCAATTCACAATAAAAACTTTAAAAAGAAAAAAAGTGTGAATGCGCAAAGATATCAGTTTGAGGACTAAGGTGCACCTGACCCCAAGCCATGTATTTTCAATCACCTCAAATGCTTCTGAAAGTTGGATAATGAATAAGGAAGGCCATAGGAATATTGATGCATTTGAATTACGGGGTTGGCGAATCCTGAAAGTACTATAGACTTTCAATAGAACAATTACATGTATCTTGGAAGAAATCCAGTCAGAATGCTCCCAAGAAGGGAGGATGGTGAGACATGTCTCTGGACTTCATACATGCCATCAGGAAGGACCAGTCCCTAGACCATACTTGATAAAATGGAGGATCGTCTACAAAGAGGAAGGCCCCCAAAGAGGTGGACTGACACACTGACAGCAACAATGGGCTTGAACCTAACAACTGTGACAAGAGTGAACTGTGCTAGGACCATCAAGAGAGGAACGCACAGATAGAATGCGGGACCTTATCCAGAGGAGCAGCAGCGCCAGAGATGGAGTCAGAGATTGGGGCATGGAGAAGGAGAGCGACTGAGGAATCTAGATTCATCAACTAAGAAGAGAAGGACTAAGAACTGGTGGCCAGGAGCAGACTTGCAGAATGTGCCCTTTGGAGATGTAATTTATTATATATGCCTGAGTGGGTTTTTTGTTTGTGTGTTTTTTAAAAAAAGCTAAAGTGGATAGAGAAATACTTTTAACTGATGATATATGGAGGGGATTATGATCAATGTAATGAAACAAGTTATATGAATGGTTGAATGTGAAACTGATGATGTGCCCTGTAAACTTTCACTCAATCCACAATAAAAACCTTAAATTAAAAAAAAAGGAACCTCAAAAAGAGTGAAGTGTGCAAGGCCTGGCAGTGTTTTGTTCTGTTGTTCACAAAAGGTCGCTAAGAGGAGGAACCAACTTAATGGCAATTAACAATGTTTCCTTAAACATAGTCCTATCTCTTCCCCGCAGAGCTGCTAGTGAATTCCAAGCACCAATACTGTGGTTAGCAGTCCAGCAATTAGCCACCGCACCATCAGGACTCTTGTTAAGTGCCGACAAGTAGGTTCCGACCCAAAGCGACTCTGTCTGGAGTTTCCAAGAAGCAGCCGCTGAGCTTGAACCGTTGACGTTGCAGTTCTAACGACTTTGCAGTCCAGCGCATTAACCCACAGGGCCACACATCAGGACTCTACTAGCATTAAAATTGTTAAGCGCCCATAGTGTTGGTTCGGACTCACAGCAACCCTGAATTGTTTACAAATTGTTAGGTGTCATGAGTTGATTCCCACTCAACAGTGACCATAAGGATAACAGAATACAACTCAGCCAGGTACCATCGCAACTTATCAACTGTCAGGATGTTGGTTCCAACTGGTTGTAGCCCTGTATAGTGTTTCCAAGGTTGTAAAAGATGAGCAGAAAGCATCATCTTTCTCCCGCGGAGTGGCTGGTGGGCTCGAACCGCTGACGCTATGATTCAGCAGTCCAGAACTTACAATGCAGAGGAAAGACCGATACTCCTGCCTGCAAGCTCCCTGTCTGCGTGCGCAGCACTGCCGGGGAACGGTCCCGAGGCGGTTCGTTTCCACGCCGGCTCACCGAAGGTCCCAAGAGCACAGACTGCGCATGCTCACTAATTCCGGCACGCCAACGCCACTGCTCTGAGAATCTCCCTGCTGAGCGAGGAGCCCCACGATTTACCTGGGGACAAGCGAAAAGACACAGGTCCCATCCACCTCCTCTGACACCACCGCACTCTTGGGCCCAAGCCGCCCCGGCCTGGGAGATGGCGGACAGCGGCGGCGCCTGGAGGCCCGGGCCTAGCGTAGCTCTGAGCAGCCCGCCGAGAGCGGAGAGGCCCTGAGAGCCCGGCTGGGTGGGCGGGCTGCAACCGGTCCTGCAGCACCCCAAGGGGACGAGCACAAACCCACCTGACTCCGCGGCCAGAGCACATCACAACTTGACAGCGGGCAGCGAACACCCACTTCCGCTTCCGTTTTGGGGGAGTTTTGGGCGGAAGCGGGGAGGGAGTTGCGAGGTAGGGGGAGGTGGGGAAGGTTAGAAATTTTGAAAAAACTAGTTTGTCTCAAATTAATCTAACGTTTCCAAGTTATTGGTTCAACTAATAGTATCTTCATTTTGGCCAGGTTTTTACTTTCAACTGCCTTCATCTTGTTGTTGTTAGGTGCCAACTCAAAGTGACTTTATGCACTACTGAACGAAACACTGCCCGGTTCTGGCCCAACCTCACAATTGTTGCCACACCTGAGCCCATTGATGCTGCCACTTTGCCAATCCATCTCGCTGGGGGTCTTCCTCTTTTTCTCTGACCCTCCACCTTACCAAACATGATATCCTTCTCCAGCGACTGGTCCCTCCTGACAATATGTCGAAGTTTGGCCATCCTGGCCTCCAGGGCGCACTCTAGCTACACTTCTTCCAACATGGATCTATTGGGTCTTTTGGCAGTCCATGGCACTTTCAATATTTTCCTCCAACACTATAACTCAAATGCATCAATTCTTGTATGGTTTTCCTTATTCACTGTCCAGCTTTCGCATGCATATGAGGTTATTGAAAATACCATGGCTTGGGTCAGGCACACCTTAGTCCTCAAGCTGTCAACTTTGCTCTTCAGTACTTTACAAAGGTCATCAGTACTTTACAAAAATCTGTGCCGCAGATTTTCCTAATGCAATACGTCTCGTTTGATTTCTTGACTGCTGCTTCGTTTTAGATTGGACTATCGTTAGGATTTCTATGTGTTCCATCTGGTGAGGTCCATGTGTACTTGAAATAAACCATTTGTTTTGCAGAAACCTATCATTCGTTCTCCAGCAACATTTCTATCACCAAGGCCAAATTTTCCAATTACTGGTCCTTCTTCTTTGCTCCCAACCTTTGCATTCCAATCACCAGCAATGAGCAATACATCTTGATTGCATGTTTGATCTATTTCAGACTGAAGAAGTTGGTAGCATTCTTCTATTTCATCTTCACTGGCTTTAGTGGTTGATGCATAAATTTGAATAATAGTGGTATTAACTGGGCTTCCCTGTAGGTGCATGGATATCCTATCACTTACAGCATTGTACCTCATGACTGATCTGGATATGTTCTTTTTGACGATGAATGCAACACCATTCCTTTTCAATTTGTCATTCCCTGCATAGTAAACCATGTGGTTGTCAGATTCAAAATGGCAAATACCAGTCCATTTCAGCTCACTAATGCCTAAGATATCAATGTTGATGCGTTCCATTTCATTTTTGACAACTTCCAATTTTCTCAGATTCATACTTCATTCTTCTTGGATCAACTATCAACATTCGCGGAAGCAGCAGTCAAGAGATCAGAAGACGTATTGCATTAGGCAAATCTGCTGCACAGGAACTTTTTAAAGTGTTGAATAGCAAAGATGTCACCTTGAGGACTAAGGTGCGCCTGACCCAAGCTATGGTATTTGAATAACCTCATATGGATGCGAAAGCTGGACAGTGAATAAGGAAGATCATAGAAGAATTGATGCCTTTGAGTTGTGGAGTTGGAGGAGAATACTGAAGGTACCATGGGCTGCCAAAAGAACCAATAGATCTGTTTTGGAAGAGGTACAGCCAGAGTGCTCCTTGGAGGTCAAAATGGCAAAACTTCATCTCTCATACTTTGGACATATTGTCAGGAGGGAACAATCGCTGGAGGATGTCATGCTGGGTAAGGTGGAGGGTCAGAGAAAAAGGGGAAGACCCCCCCCCCCAACGAGATGGATCATCAGGTGGCATCATTGATGGCATCAAGTGTGGCGGCAGTAGTGAGGTTGGCCCAGGATCGGACATTGTTTCATTCTGCTGTGCATGGGGTCGCTATGAGTAAGCTCTGACTCGATGGCACCTGACAACAACATTGTTAGGATAGGTGCTGTAGGATAAGAACTAGATAGCTAACTGAAAGATCCGTGGTTCAAACTCACCTTCTGCTAGGTGGAAACCCTAAACAGTGTCTCTGTGAGTCAGAACCCACTATGAGGCCCTTATCAACAAAATTATTAGGATAGAAAGTACAGTGGTTCTGTGGAATAGGCACTGGACTGCAAGCTACAAGGTTGGTGGTTAGAGTCGACAGCTACTCCACAGGGCAAAGATGAGACTGTTTGCTCTGGCAAAGATTTATACAGCCTTGGAAACCCTATATGTGAGAAACAGTGTCCATAATGACAAATGCTCTAGTAATCCAATCTGTACTCATTTTAGCAAGAGTGAGGTTTTCTTTATAAGATTTTGCAAAATCAGGTGCCCAACCCAGAAGAAAGGGCAGACACGCCACATGGCTGGCCTGCAAAGAATTTCATTACCCAGTCTAGAAAAAGCCCCTCCTCCAGTTCCAGTTCCTCATTTACAATTCTTCCTGGAATGGCCCATTTTCCCTCCCACCAGAGTAGCCTGAATGGCACCCAAGTCTTAATGACTGTATTCTTATTTAAAGTTTCTAGTCCTAGAACAGATTTCTTTCCTCACTTCCCCCAATTCATCCTGCTTACATCTCCCTGGGTGTGAATCAATAACCTATGTCTGGTCTAGCAATCTGTGCACCCTTTATTCCTGAAGAGGGACCATCCTAAGACTTTCTCACATATATAAGATCACTACCAGTTGATAAGATGGAGTCCTGGTGAGGCTTTGTGGGTTAATGAGCCAGACTGCAAAGCCGCTTGAACTGCCAGGTCAGCAGTTCAAGCTCACCAGCTACTCCTTGGAAACCCTATACAGGGTCGCTATGGGTCAGAATCCACTCCAGGACACTTAACAACAACAACCAGTTGGAACAATTGTTAGGATCCTGAGTTTCATTCTGCTGTATGTACACTGTGAGTTAAAAGAAATCAACCTGGAATCAACTCAAGATACTTAACAATTGTAAGCAGTATGGAACTGATCTGTTTAAAAATCCCAAACTGAAAATAAATTTTGAACCTGCAAATTATTCTACATGTAACTTTCATGATTATTATATACTGTAACTTTTTTTTTTTAAGTTTCTAATATTTGGAATTAATAATATAATTAATATAAAGAAAATTACAGGAAAAGGCATATGCATCCTTATTAAATAACAACATAATGAATATCTGTTTACCCACCACACTATTCAAGAAATAGATTACCATTGCCAAAGAAGACCCTAAATTACCCCTTCTCTGTTTCTTCCTCTCTGTTCTGATTAACAATTACTTTGGGGAACTTCTCAAAGGTTATAAAACAATATCTAACCCTAGTTTTAATTTCATTCATTCCTGGATATTCCTGAATAGCATTCCATGTGTGGAGACACTCCGTCCATTCTCAAATAAATAGACACGTGAGTTCTGTTTTTGGTGAAGCTGCTCTGAACATACGTGCATATGTTGAGGACACATTTTCATTTCTCTTGTGTAAATACCTCTGAGTGAAACTGCTGATTCATTCCGAAGCTGTGTGTTCAACTTTAAAAGATACATGGCACTAACAACTGTTAGAAATGAATCCCGATGTTGCATAAAAGACACTCGGTGAGACTAAATTACCTTGGCAAAGCAAAATTTACTCCTGCAAGAGGGTGCATGCTCATAGCCGTACATACAGGAACAGGCCAGCAAGCACACCGAGTGGACAGTCCACTCAGGTGTTTAATCCCTGACATGAGTCTCAAGGATGTGTCTCACCCCATTGGCTAGGGTTTTGACTGCACAATCTTTTCCCTTATCTGGTTGTTGGCTAGTTCAAATTTTTTAAGGCGCGGATTCCTACTTTAGGAAAAGAAAAAGAGAGCAATCATTAACTCTTTACTCACTTCAGGAAGTAACCAAAGAAAAACAGAGAGATCATAAAGTCTTTACTTCAGGAAATAAAAAAAAAAAGGTTACCCGAATACAAATGACAGTGTTCTAATTTGTTGAGTAATGATTGGGGGGGTCTTAAAATCTCATGAGAAGCCATCTAGGGTACAATTAGTGATCTCTCCACATTTATAAGAAAGAAGCATAATGGAAATTGAAGAACCATGAGAAAAATTAGCCCAATGGTCTCAAGGGCCACATGACCATCAGTTTTCGTGCCCTTGAAACCAGAAGAACTAGATGGTGCCCGACTACCACAATCAACTGCTTTGAAAGGGATCACATTAGAAGGTTCTAGATAGATTGAAAGAAAATGTGAAACAAAACTGAAGATTATTAAAAAGACCAGGACTGCTGGTCA